GCGGGAGGCAAAGCTTAGATTTCATTCGCTTGTTGGAGAATTACTCCTTTTTTCCCCACTCATTTCCCACGTTCCTTTGATAAAAATTCAAAGAGGCACTAGTAGGAGTGCACGTTGCTCAGTGTTGTGATCTGAGGACTTAATTACATGATAAAGAATTAGTGTCGGTGTCCTGAGGTCACCAACAGGACTTGATCATCCTGATCAGCATCACCGGGGGTCCACCCCACACCCTCTTGCCCATTCGTCCAGGAGCATCATTTAAACACAGACCTGGGGGTCCAGCCTTTTTTTGTCCCCTTGCCTGTGCCTGGTGGCTGCTGGTAGGACCTGCTGCCCTTCTGCCACTGCCTGCCTCTGCTCCTGTGGAGATGCGCCCTGATGGTGAGCACATTACATGGGTCATCTTCCCTTTGGGAGCTGCTCTGCTTTTGTTGCTCCCTGATGGACTGCCCTGGCTGTCAGACTGTAACTCATGCCTCATTTCAGCTGTCTGTCAGAGGGGACCAAAGGAATGGTAAGGAGTCTGATATTCAGATATAATCACCACCCTGCCCCTCTCAGTGGAGTGTATGAGCTCTTCTCAGTTCTATCTGGACCACTTGGTAGGTGTCAATTTGGTCAGCCATCCTGTCTGTGCAATGAGCAATCTAGGCTTGGGTCTGGGGGGCTATGATCATAAAGGTCTTTTCCAACTGAAACCATTCTGTGATCCTGGGGCTGTGAGAAATTGTCCATGCAGGACTTGGCTGCCCGACAGGTTCAGCTGTGTAGGAGCATGGTGTGGATGACACTTGGACGTGCAATTCCTTTGCACCAGGGCCTCCTTTTACAAATATCAGTGACATGGGTGAAGTCATGGGGTGCCTGTGGATAGGAATGCTCAGTCTCTTGAAACTCAACTACATGTCAGTCTCACTCCCATACATACCTATATAGATAGATATACCTGAGGCACTTACTGCCTTTGTGCCTGAAATAATTATTACCAGTGACTCTTTACCACATCACTGCCATTACAGATGTACCCCCTCAAGGGTGTCTGTTATAAGAACTGACGCTACTAAAATTGCATTTGGTCCTCTCAGATGAGCACTGGGTAGCAGGGAGGACCTCGGCTGAAGCAAGATGCTCTGCCTGCAGCCAGCTATGAGCAGTGCGTGGGTATAGCAGGGCACCAAACTCATTGAAATTCTGGAGATGAGCTAATCGCATCACCTGCCCTGCTTTGCCTTCTTGCATCAAAGGCTTGTCTTCTCTATCCTGGTTTCTTAATAAAGATCATGTCTTTTATTTATATATTTATTCTGCTAATGGAGCTTCATGTTAAATTTAAAGTCCATTAGAACCACTGCTTACAGAGTGCCCTTGGAAGTATGTTTGATTGCAGAATTATCCAAGCGTGATATGGAAAGCTCTCAAGCATTAATGGCTTTGGGAACACAAAGGTGGCTTCGCTGGCTTTTTTCAGTCCTTCAGCGGCATCTGAAATATCTCCTAGGGAAAGCGCATAATGTAAAAAGCCTGATGTGTTGAAAGGGTGTATTTGCAAGGGGCAGGGGGGAAAGACTGAGTTCTGTGATTAAATCCTCTTGTGTGAGGAATCCAAAAATGACAGAAATGTGCAAAACTCCCAGTGAGAAATCCATCCCCCCTGGACAAAGGACACATCACTGGGCTTTACGCAGAGCTAAGCTGAACGGTGTTGGATTCACCTGCTCTGTTTGAGATGGGTGAGAGGGGATGAAGGACCCTCCCCAGCACTCACCCCAGACCATGGCCATGCTAACAGCAGTTGCTGCCCTTTGCACATCTGCTGGGACTCTTGTGGAGCTGTGACCACAGCGTGTGTGTTTTGGTGACCCCATCTGTAGTTCTGGGTGGTTGGAGGTACAGTCACAAGTCCAGATCTGTGGCAGGTCACTTGGCACAAGGGTCTCCCCCAGGTGCCCTACAACTCCCTGCTCTCTTCACTGAGCTCTGCCTCTAAGCTCACCCCTATTTTATGTAGAGGCTCCCATAGAAGCAAAGCATGAACTCTGTTCATACCCAGAGAACGTGAAATGAGGACAGTCTTCATGGTCTGCACTGTCATTCCATATGTCTCCACTTGCACTCCTAATAGTTTCATCAATCTGAATGAGGAAGGCAGTGGGACAGGATGATCTGGAGTCAAAGTGATGGAGCACACAGCAGCCTGAATTATCCAACACAGCCAGTTTCTTTCTGCTAATTAGGAGTCCTGAATTGTCTATACATTGCAGATGATAGATAGCCTGGTTAATGTGAGATGCCTCCTTTTGGTTGCAGGTGTGAATTAATTTAAATTTGAGAATTTTGCTGATTTGTGCATTCAGTTCTTTGGGAAGAGGCCTGAGACAGCAGCCTCCACAGAGAGAATAAAGTATTGTCTCAGAGGAATATTTCTAACTACTGCATCTTGGAGCACAGCAAAGCAGTGCTGGCAGTCTAACATCCTCAGATTCCTCCCATAGCAATATTGCAGTGGCAGCGCTGCTTTAGTAGAGGATATTGAAATATTTGATTTCATGCTTTTCAGAAGGCTAGTTTTTAAGCTCGAAAATTGAACTTTACTCCCCTCTGATTTTTCCTTCTTACTTTCTGTTTGCTGAGAACTTAGCCTTGCCTTTGTTGTAAATTGAACATGAAGTTGGATTTGTCTGAAATGGCTGTGGAGGGTATAAAGAAAATGGAGATATTTCGTGCCTTCAGGACTGTCTCTGATAATGAGAAGATTAAAAAGGAGGTTAAATTTAGGTTGCTTAAACTATCCAATGAAGGCTTCCGAAATGATTGAAAATATGTGGTAGCTCTTAAACTTGTGAAAAGATGCTCCAATAGCATCTTTTCCAATAACTATACGGGGAAAATATGTGGAAGCAGCTACCCTGGATTGCCATCTAAATGTCTTCATTACCTGGCAATGTTTGGGATTTCTCTGCAAAAAGTCACTGACTCTGCTGTATCAGTTTTGTATCTGATAACTTCTGTTCTTTCTGAAGTTACCATGCCCTACACTAGGTAAATGTTTGAATTCTGAAACCTATTTCCAAATATTCCTAAGGAATAGCTCAGTGAGGCCCCATCCTGAGAAAGGCTCAGCATGAAAATGCATACAATTCCCTTTTTGGCATGGAAATTATTAGCAAAATTCCACAATTATTCCCTACCTCAGCTCTCTCAGGTGAATCAGGCCTCAGAGGAGGAGGCCATCAGAGCAAATGTTGCTTGTTTGGGGGTGTTAAGGTAGTAATGAAAGCATTTGGTGAGCACATGTTGAGGGGAGTCTAATGCAAACTGCTAGGATCTTGTTGGTAGGTAATCAGGCAGCTAGAGATGTGCTGTGCATGGAAAAGGAGCATAAACCAGACCCTGGGAAGGTTTTCAAATTCAGCTGGAGAAAAACTTTCTGCTGATAATAACGGGCACTGAATTTGGTTCTAATTTTGCTGCTCTGATGCAGGCATAACTGATCTCGTCTTTACCTGACTAAAATACAGATCAGGAATGCAGCGGCAGCGAATTCGAAGCATTGCAGTGCCCATTTACATGTTGCTGCTTCTTGCAAATGCCTTTGGAGAACGCACAAAAGGTTGAAAAAACCCAACACAGTCCATATTAAGAGGAATGGAAAACCAGATGCAAGCTAAATCCCGGAGCACTGGGAGCTCCTTTCTTGGCAGACCAGCTTAACTGCAATAGGGGCAATAGATTTTAAAAGCAGCTTCACCGAGCTTGCACAGGTCGCACTTGGCACGTGCAAGGGCATCATTACATCCCGTACAACACGTTTTGGATTTGCACAATTGAGCAGTCCTACTCTTGCATTTGGGAAGCTGGCCTTCATGTGGAAATTGCTTGCATATTGCAGTGATTTTATATTGAAAAGTGGTCACACACACGCACGCACAAAAGAACCGCTTCAGCGCGCCATCAGCGCTCATTACGGGGTATTGTCTCCATTGGCACAGATGGAAAACCCACGAGGGTACGTCAGCATATTAATTAATTCTCAAGAAAGAAAGGCTGTGAATTCAAAATCTGGATCTGATTGCTGGGAAGGATTTGGGAAGGCAGCGCTTCCACTCGTTTCGGTGTACATTGTTTTTAGTGCGCACTGAGATCTCGGGTACGTCTGTTGCAGTCTGTCCCAGCAAAGGAAAGCCAGGAACTGTTTCAATCCTTCACACCGACCTCAGCCATCCTAAAAAGCCTTCCAACAGCAGGGCTTGTCATAAATAGCTCAACCGGTGCTCTTGCGTGTTGGATGGGTTTGTATCTGGAAGATGAATTCGCTTAAGAAATTGAGGTAATCACAGAATCCCAGACCGTTAGGGATTGGAAGGGACCTCCAAAGCTCATCCAGTCCAATCCCCCTGCCGGAGCAGGAACACCCAGATGAGGTTACACAGGAAGGCGTCCAGGCGGGTTTTGAATGTCTGCAGAGAAGGAGACTCCACAACCTCTCTGGGCAGCCTGGGCCAGTGCTCTGTCACCCTCACTGAGAAGAAGTTTCTTCTCCAATTGAAGTGGAACCTCCTGTGTAATCTTTTTCTTTTATTGTAAAAGGCAAAAAAAAAATATTCCAACTGATTGTTGGTTAAAAAGTGTGAGGGTCAAATTCACCAATGGTAAATGGAAAATAATTTTTGACCCATTGCAACTTAACGATAAAGTGATTTGTCCAGCATACAGAACAAGTAAATACGACAATTTCTATGATATAGGCAGAAAAGAAGATGAAATACCTTTTGAAGACATACTGCTAGTCCTTCCCTTGATACAGGACTTCAGAAGGGATCTTGCTTCAATGTCCGTAGATGATGTTGCAGTATCTTCTGCTATGAGTTCACTTTCTAACAAACTGGAGCTGCAAAAGGAAAAGAAAGGGAGATGGGGACACCTAAACAAAAAATTAGCAGCCAACCGTGCGTTTTTCAGCAGAAAACTGCTACATTTGACCTACGTATCTTTTGCAGGAGGAATCGGGTGCCTTGGCCGTGACCGGGGACAGACACGGAAATGCCTTGACGCGGTGGAGATTTACAACCCCGATGGAGACTTCTGGAGGGATGGACCTCCCATGCCCTCTCCCCTGCTCTCCCTGCGAACAAACTCCAGCAGTGCGGGCTGCGTGGAGGGGAAGCTGTACCTCTGTGGGGGATTTCACGGAGCAGGTACCGAAGTGGGTCTGATGTCTTTTATGTAGTTAAAATCGCTTTCAGCACACACGGTGTGACGCGGTGACCACCAACTCTACCGGGTGGCCCCGGCGGGCCCTGGGACCACAGAGCCGATTCAGCCCTTTGGACTGCGGCTCCCAGTGTCAATATGGGTTGTGTTCTGTTTGTCCTTTGCTTTATTTCTTAACAAAACATGTAAAGTTAAGGATATTTTCTGATCGGTGCTAAACCTGTCCAAGCCTACATCCAGAGCTACTGAGATCAAGAGCTCGGTGCGTTACGGACATTAAAGAACGTGGACGTATTTGTTGAAGATTAAGACCCTATCTGTCTGTCCTTACTGAGCTATCTGGCTCTGGCTATTTACTTACATGCTTTTCATAATCAGTGTTGAAAAACCTTGTGTATTTAATGAAGTACAAAGAGACTGAAATTCCAGATCTGGTGATTTCAAAGAATCCTCACCCCATGGCCACTTGGCTCTATCTAAATCTCCAGTACCGCTAACTGTTATTTTTTTCATTATCAATGCAAAGAGTCTCTCAGAACATGCACATTTAAACTCTTCTGCTACAGAGAAGCTGCTACTCCAATGTCCTTTTTAGGACAAAGCAGCAATACAGATGCATTACCCACTGCTAATAAAAGTCATTTCAGGCTCACCATTGCCCAGGAATGGCCGCATGGTATCGCTGGGTGACAGAGCCTGCACATCGCACCGACTCCAGTTGCATTGACTCTTACTTGTGTGACAAACTGTAAACTTAGAGCTGCTGTTATTTTCGAATGATGATTTTTATCAGCTGGTTCGCCACTCACCTTCCCCTCCCTTCCTTTGCTGCCGTTCGAGGAAGCCGCTTCCCGAAAACAATGGTGTGGCAAGTCTGACAGGCACTCGTGTCACCTCTGACGGAAGCTGTGTCACCTCAGAGCAATTATGATTGTGATCCATCACTGTGTTCCCATAGCAAACAGTGTGCCATCGTATTTATCCTTTTCTCAGCAGTATTAGGAAGAAGTCTAAAGCTAGCGAGTACAAATCTCAGAAGGCCGATCATTTGCACTGGCAAATGAAGCAATTTCATTCAGGATGACTAATGGATTAGCATGAGATTTTCTGAATAAGGTAGCTTCAGAGCTATGAAAACACTCACTGTACAATGCCACCATGTTCTGTCACTGAGTCATATATTTATTATGGATATATGTATAAAGAGTGGTGGTACGGAGAAGGTTGAAAGTCCTCCTGTGGGTTTTGAGACGTCCATCTGTAATGCCAGCTCAATGGAGTCCTCATTGACAACTGTATTATTGCGATCTATATAATTATGTATAGAACTCCCCTGCACTCAAAGTGTTTTCTAGATTGGAAAACAAGAAGTCAGAGTTAGAAACTGCTGGTTTTGCAGTTACCTGTGCAACCTGAATTCTGCCCCTCCGCGTGTGAGTTCTGTGTACCACTGAAGAAATATCATGCGGTTGTGGTGTCAGACGTTATGATATCTATTAACATGGGAGCCAAAATAAGGTTCTCACTCTCAGCTGTAAATCAGATGTATCTGCATGTTTGAGGGGTTGAGAGGAAGCTGTGCCGTAAAGACAGGCTTCTTAATATGACTTTCAAATTATTAAAAGAAGGGGGCTTTCTAAATCTTCCTAACAACTTCTAGTTCTGGACATTCACAGAACAGCGTGTGCTGCAGCTGCTTTCGTAGCAGATTGGGTTATTTCATAACACGCTTGTTTGGTTTTGGTCTTTTGGGCTTCTTGGCATGCCACTTCGGTTTTCGTCAGGGATGCAACCAAGAGAGGATATTCCAGTTTTACAAAACATTGTAATTTAGTTTCAAGCAAGTGGAGTTTTTGGAACAAGCTGGAGGCACAGCTGTAGGCTCTGCGTTTTCCAAGTGCTGAACGCTAAAGGGCTGCTTTGAACATTCAGGAATGAGTGCTTCCAAAAAAAGGAAACAAGCCAGAAGCGCTGCTGCAATGGAAAGCCTCAGCCAATGCTTGTAAGGGTCTACAACCAACTCTCCATATACGACAGATCTGTCCCCAGCTCCCCAGCCCCAACGTGGCTTTGCCTTTGCTTACACCCACTCCTGATGCAGGAGTGTGAAAGTTGAGCTATGAAGGACATCGTTGTATCTTAATTTTACTCATATATGCCATGCTCTGCATGCCTTTCTGCTTGAGCATTGACTTAAATGGATAATTGGAGACCAGAGCTGCTGTACACAAATGCAAAGCTGAAAAAGCTGCTGTCAACTGCTCAAAGGGCCTTACATTTGGATGAAAAGATGAGCACTGCTCCGTTACCATAATTTCTGAGTCCCATGTGACACTTGAAGTTTTGTGATGGCAGGATTCCCATCCTATATACATTGTATGTCCTATATCTTATGTACATTGCCTCTCACAAATCTTGGTTTGTATGAAGCAGACAAGCGGAGCAGCCCTAACAGCATCCCCAGGAGCAGAGGAAGAGAAATTGCAGCTACTCAGGGTCTCCATAGGGAAGTCAGCTGAGAGCAGCATTTGTACAATGCAGACTGCGATCTCTAAAGGATGAGTGGACCCTAATATGTGTCTGAGCTTCACCAAGAGAAAGCTTCCTCTGCACTGCAAGGAATGCTGTTGGATGTTGGGCTGTGTTGGTGAACACAGTTTGTGAGACCTCCTCTTGCTGACACCTCCGCAGGTTAGGAGCTTGCTCAGGGCCTGGTCATGAAAGGGGAAATGGGATTAATCCAGATGAAGCTTAGACAGGTATCTGGAGTGCCTGCACTAAGGCCTCAGTGTCCCCAGACTCCCTGCAGTACACGGAGAAGCACAGGCACTCACAGATGGAGATTCAGGTCCTTGGTGCTTTCAATCTGCTCTGAAACACCAGAAGGCAATTCAGAGCCCCAGTCTTCTAATGCTGAGTGTTTTGATCGGGATATGAGGGATTCCAACTTGGCTTACCCAAGGCAAACCCATCAGGAGCGTGGCATCTGTGGTTGATGGTGCAAGCCCTCTGAGACCTCTGTGCTGTATTGCTATCTGACAAACATGACCTTCTTACAATCTTGAGAAGTACCTAAAATAAACCCCACCGCTTCTGCTTGCCCTGATTTTGTTTCCTCCTTTAGCAAGACTTGAAAAACTTTATCCGTTAGCCAGTAGTTTATGCAAAATAGTTCATTTTCTAGTAACCCTATGACAGCAAATGGGAACCATTAATCTACTTGTCTCTGACTCTCAGCTCCAGCTCATATAGCCCAGTGTCGTGAATCTTGCCTGTCATTTGTCAGCAGTTTTACAGCATTCATCAAGATATTCAGAAGTGCTTAAAATGGTTGGTTTTGTCCATGGGTTTATAGTCCTGCCTGGAGTGAAGACGCTAGCTGCAGTACCAATACTCAGAAGGACTCGATGTGCAGCAGCCAGCTGGCTTTCCACGAATTATTAAAATACATTGCCGCCTTTGCTGCTGTAACTATGGGTCTTAAACCAGCCTTTGCAGCCTGATCATGTCAATGTGTTTCATTCTTTTTATTTCCTGGCAGCAGCATCCTCATTAGCCTGCCTGGCCCAGGGGGTGGGATGCAGCTCCTCAGGTATGCAGCACTGCATGCTTATGAAATGCCTGCCACATTGGGTTTCCTTTCTCTTTGACTGCTTCTGAGTACTGTAAATATTTTTTCCTGGTGAAAATAATGAAGGCAAGGGGCTGTGCCTGTTTGGGACCGTGTCATCTGCTGTCCCCGTTGGCTTGTGGAGCCAAGTGTTTGTTGACTTTGCATTGTTGCTGCACAAATACAGATCTTGGAGCCTGCTTCTGGGGGCTGGGGGTGTAGCTTTGGTTGAAAAACTCAGCAATGAGTTCAGCATCATGTGTGGGACTGGTGCTACTGAACCCAGTTCTGTTATTTACTGGCTGGTATAAAGTAGAAATAAATTTTTCACTTAAGTGGCGTTACAGTCAGAGGGAGGGGAAAG